GATGATACTCACATAATTTGACTTAGGCTGCTGTATACATCTTTAAAACAAGCCTTGTGTCTACTCCTTGTGTTTGAGGTATGACCCTGCCAATGTGGGTAAGGCAGTAACTCTGAATTATGGAGAGCAAGATGATTTTAATATGCCAATTCAGGACCTCAGCTTTTACTCTTTTAAAAATGTAAATACCTAATACAAAAATGTTATTTTTACATTAACATTTTAATGAGTCTTATGTTGACTTTGCACATTATATAATTATTATTAAAAATAATCAGAAACCTTGCATATTTAATATTCATAATTGTTTTCCTCATGCTCAACAAAGAAGTTACTTTTTTTCCAAACCCATTTCTGAAATGTTAAAGGCTGTTTGGCTTTTGGAATTATCTGGTCATAAATAAATCACACTTTTTTGGCCTAAAGTCATCCACTTTGTGTTCTGAAAGGGAATAGGTCTTTTAGAAGAAATTGTCAGATTTTCTGCTGCTGCTGCTTTTTGAGGTGGATTTTAGGCTAATAACAAAGAAACATCTCCAGTGCAGCCCTTCTGTTCTGTTAAAAAGTCCTTTCCAAGAAGTATAGTGGGCACCATGTGCCAAAGGGCCTTATTGTAGGAGGAAACTTTTCCAAAGTTTTCCCTTTAGTGCACAAAAATAAAAAGTAACTTCAGGAATTTATATGAGTAAGACTGTAACAAATAACCAGATCTTTGTTATTTCTATTGATACAGAAAGTAAAGAAAATCTAAAATACTATGAATTTTTAGTATTTATTTTAATGCATTTTTTTCCACAAATTTGAGAGCTGAGTTCTCTCTTTATGGAAGAGAATTTGACCTTAAGTGCACTAGACATCTGCTAATACAATTGTTAAATAACATTAAGGTGGTGAGGAGAGGGTAAGAAAAGCAAAAGCCAATGAGAGCTTGCAATTTTTTTGGGTTGAACATACAAAAGCCATTCAAAATATAGCATGAAATGTCCCTTTGCACATTCCAGGAGCACACTACAGTGTGCAGGATGCAACCTGCTCTGACTTGGTTTCCTTCTGCAGGGCTACTTGGCTACCATAAACCAGCTGGAGTTAACATTTTAGCTTTGGTTGCTCTTTCTGCCCCTGCCTTGACTGCTTGAGATTTGTTCATGATGCCTTGAGAAGATGGGTTAATTTGGGGGGATATGCAGAGCTATTCATCCTGCCAGGTTGTACATCAGCTTGATTCCTGCAGGAAACTGAGGATCAGAAGGAGGACAGGCCCTGAGCAGTCAGTATTTGGTTTCAGTGGTGGCTGCTGGGTGGTGTCCATGTCTCTCAAGGCCATGCTGATGGCACTTTTCTGCCTGGAAAGAAAGGACACTGAATTCCTCTGCTGCTCTGGAGTCCTGCAGCATCAAGGCCAAGGGCAGCAAGCAGAAGTGCTGCTTTGTGCTGTGGTTTTGAAAGGACATGCAGAGAGCTCTCATTGCTCAGAATCCTCAATTCCTTGCCAAGTTCTTCCTTTAGCTCCTCTACAGTTCTTCATTTCTTTGTAGATTTTTTTCTCTACTAGGCAGGAGTGGCTTTGAAGGAGTTCACATTGGAAAATACAGCATGACAGCTCAAAGCCAAGCAGTGCCTCTGCCTTGTCCCTTTCAGGAACTAGGCACCAAATTGTTCCTAACTTACCAAATTGTTTAAACTGAAATACTAAAGGAATATTTACATTTTTCCAGAGTATTTGCCATCATAGCTTTTTTCCAGATATCAAATAATATTGAGCTCTGAGATCAACACTTTTGATAACCATCATTTTGATCAGAAGTGCCAGTTTTGTTATTAAAAATTAAAAGTTGCACATTTTCACAGAAACAAATTATTGCTAAACCCCAGCATCTGCAGAGTGCTACATAGCATATTTGGGATTGGGAGATAGACCACAGGAGACCATTGGGAGATAGACCACAGGCTTGACACTTAAGTTTTAATAAGTATTTCCTTTGGGTTTGAGACTCAATAATATTAAAAATTTTTTCAGTAGATTCTTAAATCTATTATTTTGTCATAATTGCATTCTAGGACCTTATTCTACAGTAATATTAAATAAGTTACTGCATTCATTAAAAATTATTTGAAAATGAATACAATTACCAAAAAGCTATGCCAGGAGTGTATTTTAATATAAGGCTCACATATTAGCTGGTAGGAAATGACAACATTCTTCTTTTGAAAACTCAGGAGCTACAAAGATGATAACTGCTCACACAGGTTGTCTCAAAGTGCACATGGAGGGAAAATTGCTGTGCAGGCACCAGCAACTCCCCCAATTAACATCTTCATGGCACCAGAATAATTTTTCCTGAGTGCCACTTTTAACTGTGTCTAAGCATTAATACCTGTTCAATCTACATTTTAAAAACTTCAATAGTTTCTGAATTTTTTTAGCTTGTTTCTGCATTTTTCAAGCCATGGTCAGTGTCCATGTTTATTCTGTAGCTGTAACTGCTGGTTTCATTGCTACTGAGTCATGAAGGAAATGGTGCTGCTTGCCAGAACTGGTACTTTTCTTGATGAACTTTTTTCTTGTAACTTTTGAGATTATTTTTTTAATGGATTTTTATTTCATAAAATGCGTTTTTTGCCTTTCTCCTGCTCTCTCCTTGATTATTTTTGTAATTTCAAAATAAAAGGACTAGTAGGCTGCTGTTTGCCCTCCTGGCAGCATTCCTCTATTTCCACTGTTGGTTGGAGATCACAGTAATCCAATGCTGTGGAAAACCCTTTTCCCTGGAGGGACATCTGTCTCTTTGATGGACTCCACAGGCACTTTTTTTGGCAGCTCTGGAGATGCCACTGAGAGATCTGGCACACTTCTGTTCAAATGAAAGTAAGAAAATCCCTTGTAAGTGATGTACAGAGTAAAATACTGGATATTGCACCAAGTTGTTTTGGTCCTGCTCTCTTCTAACAATAAATATTAGCACAGAGGGGACTTTTTTCCTTTTTTTCTGGTTATGAATCTGAAAGTAAAAAGGTCTACAAATACAAAATAAGTAAAGGCAGAAAAGGGAAAAAAGTAATTCTTCATTCAGAATTCTCTGCATGCAAAACCTATACCTATAAAAACATATTTTGGCACTGAGTTATTGGTTGACTAAATATAAAATAGACTTGAAAAAAATACAAACAAACCAGCACCTTTGAGTAGTACAGCTAGGACTGTAGGAGTCTCTTTAGTTTTGTTCCTTCTAGCATTGTTCTCTACAGCACCTCTTCACTTCCAATTAAATATTTTGGTTTTCCATGAAACTTGAGTGCTTTTCTTCTGTGCTGTGTTGAAGACTGTTAAACAGTTTTGATACACAAGTCTAGGAATTCAGTTCAGTTGTCCACTGTCTTTATTGCTTCCAGGGCTGAAACCTTGAACTCACAGAAGTCATTTTCATTTTGCTGTGGAGGATCACCATTGACTTCTGTGAGGCCAACATTTCACTTACCTGTTCCCACCTTGAAAGGAAAACATCAAAAGCCATTATTTATCTGAAGAGTTGATATGTCCAGACTTTACAGATGCTGTTTTATCCTTCCCAGATGTTATGTGTCTGTGTCGCTCTTTCTGATATAGCAGAGTTTGTTCAGCTTTTTGATGTCTTCTTTGTGTCTGATTGTTCTGAGTTGAAAAATACAGAGAATCAGGGAGTAACACTTATGGCTTTGAAATACTTGCTTGCCACCCCCACTCATTGCCTTCCATCCAAATTCTCTGTGTGGAGAGATTTTTTTTAGTACTTCAGGTGTCTCAAATAAGCACAATGCTGTTCTTGTCAGATTCATCCATTTTTAGCCATTTTATTGGACACAATATATATATTGATTTTTTAAAAATCACAATTTTGTATCTTTTCAGTATCTTTGAGAAGAAATTACTTGGAGCACTTGACATTTTAATGCAGTTTGTCTTTTCAAATAGATTTGGCTTCTAATGCATGTGACAATGGGACTTTGCTCTTCAGTTAGAGCATACATTTCAGAGTAGTTGTTACCTAAAATATTATCATAAGGCGTAAGAAAACACACGATTTAAGTTGCCTTTCATGAACATAATTAAGAATTAATAAGCCTGTACCAGTGGCTAGTCCTCAGAATTTCCACTGTTTTGCCTTTTGTGACCCGTGTTATTAAAAGTCCATTATTTTTACAGACTTTATTAAATTGGATCTTATTAAAGCATTCTATATTTGCATTTGGTCTTTCATAATTCATTATTATTATGACATTTACTTTTTACCATCAGATCTGAAAACATATCATAAGCTACCCTTTTCTCTTGAAAGAAATGCTAATTTCAAACAGTCCTTTAATGGAAGAGAAAAGCTTTATCAGTTTTTTCATTTATTCAAGATCGTGTTAAGAATACTAATGTTAGACTTCTGTATGCTAATATCTAAGAGCTTTTTTTGGTCAAAAGCTTAGAATTATTGTTTTTTAGACCACACTGCTAAGTATGTCACTGGCAGGACATTAGTACAAAAGAAAATACAATTCTGAAGTACCATGTTTTAATTCTGTGACTGATAAAACCAATCTCTTGATCTTTTATTATTAAATTGTGCTTTCGTGTGAAATTTACTATTTTTATACTTCGCCATGTTTATTAGATTGTTGCTCTAAGTTTCTCTTTAAAAGTTTTAAACAATTGGTTCAGCATTATTGTTTTTGGGGGGTAGTTTTGAATTATAGTCTTCACATAGTGTAACAGGAAATGGAATTCTCCATGAAACAAATCACTGTCTCAAGCAATTGTTAATTGTTTTAATTTAGACAACCTGAACCCTATCATGTTTGTAAATATTATAATAATTTAGTCATAAAAAGAGATAAAGAGCTCTGGTACTGAATGTAGAATGTGTTGAACAGTAGGTAACATGCAGTTAAACTGCTGAATTTAGCATAATTACTGTTTTAAACCTAACGTCAAAAAATCCTCTACAATGTTAACTATTTATTTCTTCCCCCACAAGGTTTCTGACGATGTGCACTAGACATTTTGGGAGTGTTGTAGCCCAAACCATTCGAACTCAGAAGACAGACCAGTTTCCACTTTTCCTTATTATTATGGGAAAACGTTCATCTAATGAAGTGTTGAATGTAATACAAGGTACAGTTCTTTATATTACAGGTGTTCCTTACGTGAGTATTGAAACTCTTGTAAGAGGTCTTTGCTAACTGCTTCTCTTTTAAGATATCCAGAATATTAATTTATTACACAAAACACACTTTAAGTTGCCATGGTATAATTATCTACTGCTAATAAATGTATTAATTGGCATGGTGTTAGAGATTGCAGTTGCCATGACTGGAGTAGAATTATACTTTACGTTTTTCTTTTATTTTTTTAAATGGAAGCTTAATTTCCTAAATAAGGAGCTACACTTAGTTTTCCAAAATAATATCCAGATATATTCCTGATTTCCAGAAGATCCTGGCTGCACTTTTTGCATAGTGCCAGAATGCATTTGGTTCTTTGTGTGTAGCTCCTTGGTAGTAGCTGGGCTCCTGTTGCTAATATTTGGACATAATTTGGAGTTGCTTTTCCAGACCTGCTTGCAGCATCAAGGCTCCCACATCAGGTCAGGATTGAAGTCCCTAATACAATCTCACATAAATGAAGTTTTCTGGTTTGCATGAGCAGCTCTTTCTGGTGTAACCATTCCTCTGATTTCACTGGCAGCAAGGTGACTTAGATTCTGAGTGTTGCCCTCTGACTGCTGTTCTCAGTAACTCTTCAAATTAGAGCACATCAAAGAATGGCTGCCTCTCATTTCTTCTGCTGTCTGCACGAGTTTGCCTTCATGACACTGTGTCCTCATTTTTTTATTGCTTATGTCTGGCAATCTTTATTGTAATCTCGTTTTCCTGAGGAAATTCAGCCTCAGGAAATGCTGCCTTTTGCAGACAAGCATTAGTGTTTCTTTTTGCATCTGGGATTAATAATTTTCTTAAGGAATCTGCAGTGTTCATTCCTGTGGACAAAATGGTTACTTTTTGAATGGATTTTGTCTCCTCAGTGCAAGGTACAGCACAACACTAATTCCTGGTATGAATGCCTGTAATTTATAAAACATATTTCGTAGGTTTCATAGGTTATTTCATGAAAATAGTCTTATAAATAGCTTGGTTTTCTGACTCTGCAGTACATTTCAGAACCTTTGCCATCCCACTGAAGTCGGTGGTGCTACTGACTTAAATTACTTAACTGCTTTAGCAACAATTCAAAGTCATAATACAATGCAGCTTTATATTTAAAAATAATCCAGATTATTTAATGGCATGAATTAAGTTTTAATGATTTATCAGGTTTTCTGCAATCTTTTGCACCAAACTAAAACAATAATCTATTGTAGCCTTACTTAAATTCATCCTTTAACAAAAATCACACAATTTCTGCTCGTTATTTTCCCAGGAATGGGGACAGTGGTATCTTTTAACAATACTGCCTCGATGAATGGTAGCCTCTGAAGTCCTGCATGTTGTAGCATGTGGGATAACATTTTCTGCTAAGGTAGCAAATGTTAGAAATGGGAACAATGAGGGCCTTTCAGGGCAGGGTGAGAAGGCATGTTGACAGAAGAGATGCAACTATATAGAAACCTAAAACCCCATTGGTGTTTATTGAAATGCAGAGTGTCTTACTTTTCTTTTGATTTTTACTTTTTTTCCTGGGGCTGGAAACTATGGGGACAGTCTTGTTTTCTTTAGTGGTACTTGTTTTGCTGGGGTCCAACAGCTGTTTAGGCTGGCAGATGTTAAGACTTCATAGTTTTTGACCATTTCTCATGGTTTAAGACCTCCTAACTACTATGACAAGTGGCTTTAATGGGTAGTCTTCAGTTTAGAAAGAGAAACCAAAGAATGCATCTTGGTAGGAAATTAAAGTAATCTTTCAGTCTTAATGAAGACTGGAGGCATGCTGGAAGGAAAATATAGGGAGGTATCTGTTTTCCTATGTATATGTTCTATTTCATGATACATGCATGTATGACAGAATTTTCCACTTCTGTAGCTTTGCAAGTTTTTTGAGAAGTAAATAGACTGAAGAAAATATAGTATTTGAAATTTTATTACTAGTTTATCCAAATAAAATGTGGATATATTTTGTCACATCCATTCAGTCATTGGATTGTGGGTTTTTCCATTGTTTTAAACCAATCCACTTGGATGCTGCTGCCAGCATCCTACCTTGTGTTGCCTGATAAGTAGTTGCTTTGGTCTCCCTGGGAATTCTAAAACTGTAAAATCAATTGCACATAAGGGAATCCCAGATCTACTGCTTTCCTTTAACATCAGTGACTAAAAGACAAAATAGAGTAAATGTATGCAAGCATAAGAGCAATTGTTCAGATTTGCACCATCTGAAATTCTAACCTGTGATCAACCTTTGTAAAAATAATTTTGAGTTTTCAGTAAAAAGGTGAACTGAAAGCATTCTATTGAGATATTTGCATTTTCTACTCTTGTCTTTTTTTTATTTCTTATGGATTAATACTAAAATTACTTCTTTTTTGTTTAATAACTTTGATGAAATGAAGTTCAGCTATCTTCCTTTGTTGCTAGGTAACACAACAGTGGATGAGCTAATGATGAGGCTGATGGCTGCAATGGAGATCTTCAGTGCCCAGCAGCAAGAAGACATAAAGGATGAGGTGAGCACTGGAAGTTGCTGCAGATACCTCCTGGCTTCCACTAATCACTGGGGATGTAAATTAACCAGTTGTTTCTTTAGCCAGTGGAGTTGGGTATGATGTGTTTTAGTGTCTCTTCCATTGTCAGAAATTAAAAAGGTCAAGTCTCCTTTGTGTATTTGGGTCTCTCAGAACAGCTCCTCCTTTTTGGTCTTGTCATTTTCAGTTTCTTTCCTTTTTCTGGACATAGTCACCAGTGACGGGTTACATTATAGTGATATTATAGAGCTTAATATGCTCATTCAAGGAAAATTATCAGATTTTTTGCCACTGACCAGCCCCAAGTCATAGGTAGAAAACAAAAATAGATTAATATATCTTAAATGCGTCTGCTTAAAAGGGGGCTGAAACCAACTGTAATCAGTACACCAGTACTGAACCACCACTCAGAATGATGCAGAATGCATAAATGATGACAAGACTTCTCAAAACCAGTGTTTCAATTACACAGAAGCAGACAAAGTGAGTTACACAGCTGAAAGATCTTTATCTGTTACTCCGTAAATTAAGAGTGACATTTTTAAGTAATGAAGTTCATAGGAATTTGTAATAATAGATGTGTTGCCATTCAAGATTATTGTTATCCTGTTGTGTAGACATTGATTGACAATAATTCACGAAACACATTCTTCACATTTAAATCTTGTATCTCATTAGTACAAGATTTACTGACTATAATATGAAGGCACATTATCTGCACAATATCTGTCATTCACTTTTTCTTCTTTATATATGCTACCTGTAATTCATTGGTAAAGAAATTGACTTTAATTTTGTTAATACTGAACACAAATTTAAATGTGAGGATTACAACAAAAATCCAAGGCACGATATAACAGAATTTTTTATTGCATTTTAACAGGAGTGTCTTGAGTATGGGAGGTTTTTTAATGCTTTAGTAAGAAGGTGGAATTTACATCGCAGACAAGCTCCAAGAGAGGTTCATAATTAAAAACTATAAAAGCTGATAAAAAGGAAGAAACTGGGAGAAACAGAAACATATAAAGTCAGAGAGATAAGAGCAAACAAGGGATAGAAGAAACTAGAAGTGATAGGATTGGAACAGAGTGAGGAACAGAACACCAGACCAGAACCAGGAACTGGCTCCTGTCCTGGGCTGCTCTTTGTCCTTCCCTGGGTGTCCAAGAGCAGTGACAGTGACAGTCCAGTCTCCACATGGGATTGTTGTCTCCTGGCTTCTTTCCCCAAGTGCTCTCCCTATCTAGGGAGAATGGAAAATTGATTTTTATACATTTCTCCAACATCTACCTTTGTCCAAGTCTTCTGTAGTCCTTCATTTTTCTGTCACTGGAAGCACCAGTGACATTTTTTCCCCAACAGGAGCTTTTTCTAACACACTTTGACATTCAGAAAAGTGAAGGAAAATTTCATAAACTTTGGGGGCAGCTTTCCAGACACTATGGGTTCTATACACAGATAGGATATTTACTTACACCTTGGCTCCACTCGTTACAAGCACACTGAAAAGGTGATCTCAGACACTTTGCCTTTGAAGCAGGAAGTTTTCAAAACAAAAAATAACCTTGCTTTATGAAATTACTATTCCAGAGAGGGAGTGTTTGACAAGCAGTACTCAACAGAGGGCTTCAGCCTGAAAACAAAATATTGCCTTTTTGTGGTTAGCTACACAACATGTAGCTTTCTTGTAAGCCTTGTACTTGACAACTTCAAGTGTTCAAACATCAACACCTTTTCTTTCTTAAAATCTTACTGCAGTTGGTGCAATTTTTTCCCAAATATTACAATAGCAAACAGGATACAGAGTCCGGTTTCTGTTACTGTTTTCTTAATAGCAACAATAAGTCATCATAAAACCACAAGAAGATAAGCAGAAAATTCTTTTGTGCTTTAAAAAGAGGAGTCATCAGTGTAGCATTGCTGTAAACAGAAGTGTGTGTGTGAGAGAGAACCAGAACTGGAAACATTTGTAAATGACAGCATGAAGTCAGTAATGAGTGAGTTTATGCAGCTGAAATTCTCATGCACATGAAAGCTTCCAGCAGAGCCATTGCATAATCCTGTTTGGCACAGAGTGTTTTGCAGTGCCCTCTGATGGTTATTTGGGTACAGGAGGACTGGTACCACTCCAGCAGCTGCTCCAGGTGTTCAGCTGATGCTGGCTGTAGCTACAGGCAGCTCCCTGTCACTGAGCAGCTGCTGAGGGTGTAGGTGGGATGCTCAGAGCAGCTTTACCAACTTACCTCACCTGAGTGAGCCACCTCATTAACTGCTGGCAATAATATGCTTAGCTAAATCCTGTGCTTTTATATCCATGTATTGGTAAAATTTACCAATTTAGACTCATAAGATTTTAATGGGGTAAATCTCTTGCATATTTTTTTAGTGTCAAGTGCTAAAATACCATTACTTAACTAGCAGTTGGATTTAATTTTTAGATTTGTGTGTTGTACTCTTACATAATCTCCAAAGAAATACCTTAAAAGCATTGGGATGCTCATAGTAACCCAACATGCCTGTCCTGGTGTGTAACTTCTGCACTTGTTTCCTCTCCCAAGTTTTCCTTCAAGGGAGATCAGCCTGCTGTCCCATTCTTTTCCCTGCCTCTCCAGGGTTCTGGGTCAATCATGAGCTGTTGCTGCGTTGGCCAGATGACATTTTGGAAACCTCCTGCCTCTTTTGGACCATGCTGTTGATGTGCCATTGTACATACACAGTCTAGGTGTCTGTTTTTATAATTTTGCTCCTAAAATTGCTGTAAGAATAAGCCACAAACAGCAAAATTGGATTAGCAGCACACTGCTGTGCTCACAGGGCTCTTCTGATTAGAAGTGGCCAATGGATAATTCAGTTGTGGGCTCAGTGACCATCACCAGTGAAGCCTTTTGGCCAGGATACAGTCCCACCTTTCCCAGTGCAGTCAGGTCTGAAGTCCAGCTTCAAGCTGTGTATGCAGAGTTATTCTGCAGCTGCACTAATGATTCCTGCATCTGATGGACACACTTCCTTTTCTAACCATGTTTGCTCCCCTGGTCACCACTACAGGAGTTGACACCCTAGCTACTGCTCAGGCAGTGGGGTTTTGCAGAGGGAATAAATGTCATTAAGGAGTTTGTCCTGTAAGCAAGAGAGGGTCTCTCAGAGCAGGGATAACCAGCTTCTGCCACTGTTAATCAAGGTATGCACTCAGACTTTTCAGGCACTGACTTTGAAAGGAGCATGTAGTATCAGTTCCTCTTGGGTAGCAGTTCCTCTTAAGTGTCAATACCTGTTGCTGGGCCTAGGAAAACAATAGTTGTAAAATATTCTACGCCCTGGAATGTCCATTTTTAAACACCCTGTGAGCTTGCTTGCTTTAATTGGACAGTTAAATAATCATCTCAGTGTGGCGTGATGGGCCCGAATAGATCCGAGGTAGTTCCTTTGTGAGATTAATGTGAAGAGATCTGTGATTAAATCCTGGCATTACAGCACAACACACCTGTTCTGGGCTGATCCTCAACATTTTTTCTTCATTGCCTGAGGAGGAGGCTTCTCAAAGGATTACAGTAACACTTTTTGACAAGCTTATACAGGGCGGAGTTTCCATGTAATGACAGGGCTCATTTGATGATGCCTCAGTAATGCATTTTTTATTTTTGCTGTCAACATTTATTACTGTAAAAGAAATGACTGTTACACAGCTGGCCCAACTTGTCCACATTTAAGTAACAGTAGGTGTCTGGTCGTGTTTATTTTTGTCCTTATGCAACACTGGCACTCCTGCTCTTGGATTAAACATCAAGGTGGAAATACCCACAGTTGCTTCAGAGACCTTCTTATTTTTACAAGTACCAGTTGAAACCTTTCATTCACTTTAAACTATGTCTGCCAGCACACTGCTCTGTAGTGTAAAAGAGAGACACTTAAGAATTTTTAAACTGGAAAAACTGCTGTAAACAGACTCTGTCTGAAGATAAGCTGTAGAAAGCTGTAGGCCTGCAGTCACCATCCTTCCTCTCTGTTCTTGGCTGACATCTCTTTCATAGATACCTCTAGAGCTTGAGGAAAACACAGGTCCTTCCTCACTAATATCTGGATGAGGATTTTAAAAACATGTGAAGGAAAACCAAAACTCCAAACCAGCAGCATAAATTCTTTTTTTCTCTTTTCCTTGCCACAGCCCTTTGGGGCTTTAGTGGCCAAGTGATATTTTCATGGCTGTGCTGTGAGAAGCCTACTATCACCATGTCTTTTCCTCCTTTTCTGTCTCACTGCTGTCCAGTGAAGGGGAAGTGCTTCCATGAGCTCTGCAAGAGACCTCTGAAATTTCTGCTGGGGACTGAAGCTCTGATGTAAATCGGTAGAAATCAGGCATCTGAATACCTGATAATCTGTGTTCCATCTAACACTGTCATGTGTATCATGGTGTATAGTATTTGCACAACAAGAAATTATGAGAATACACGAAATCCATTAAATTCCAAAGCGCAAAAGCATTATGGTGATGACAGCCATCTAGCAAAGATTGGGATTTAACCCCTCAAAAATCTAATTAGCACATTTACTAATTATTACTAGTTATAACTAATTAAACTACAGTAATCAAAATTTGTTTGATTAAATTTTCTGATTTTGTGTTTGTAATATGATAGCAGCCCAAACGAGGGGCTTCCCATTGAGCACTTGGCCACACACACCCCGGCGGGTGCAAGTGCTGCCTGCAAGAGTTTACAGCATGGTTAGAGCCTTGGCAAAGTGCAAGGCAATGGCAGGGGAAGGAAAGAGAGAAAAGAGAGAAGGAAATAGAGAGAGAGAGAAAGAAAAGAAAAAGAGATAAAATATCTTTAGTCCCTGTGGCTTTTAGGCTGTACATGTTGATGGCTCCACTCAGTGTATCAGGACTGGCTGGCTCTTTTCCCACAGAAAGGCACTGCAGGACTCCTTGAAGGTTTTGGGTTTGGTTTTCTTTGTGTCACTTGAGTTAATTCCAAAACTGGAATCTGGAACTGAGCTTTCAGCCTTCATTGTGGACAGGCAGGATCCAGTGGTGGTTCTGTGCTGTTCTGCCCCTCACCCTGCCCCATCCTGCCTCCTCCTGTGGTTCTGCCACCGCTAAAATGTCCATTTGCTTTGTCCTTGTTGTTCCCATACACCCAACACACTCTGTGTACACTTTTTCCTGCCATGTATTCCCCATCATGTATGTTTAAGTAATACAATGTGCAAGTCTGTCATCTTAGTGAGTCAAATTAATGCCTTTCTTGCACTGGTTTGTTTGGACAAAGGGGTGTTTCTCTTTAATGCTCTCATGAATAGCCTTAAGCATTTGCAGATTTTAATTTCAGGAGTGGTTCAGTGAAATGAGCTGTCTTTCAGATAGACATTCAGCATTTGTAAATACACTTTTTTCTTTCTTTCTTTCTTTCTTTCTTGTAATAGCTTTTTACTCACTGGTGCACTGAGAAATGTCTTCTGCTCCTGGGTATCTTCTCAAGTTCTGTCTCGTCCAGTTTTACTTCACAGTAAAACTGGTCCCAAAGGACAATGGGGAATAATATAACACAGCCCCCTGAGACAAATCAGGTGCAAAGCTGATTCCTGGGGTTAAATCATTAAATCCTGCCTTCAGAAATGACAATAATAAATAGGAAAAAATTTGCCCCAGAGGGGCAAATGCTGACTTTTCCAGCAAAATATCCCATTGAAAAAGTGGAATATTTTTAACTTGTAGAATCTGCTGTCCTAAATTCAGTCAAGAACCTCTCTTTGTCCATCGTCCTGCATCTGAAAATGCCTGTCACTAGGTATTTCAGGATTAACTTCAACAAATGTTTTAGGAAATAGTTATATGAGAGAGTTATCCTAAATTTCCTCTTAATTTTATCTGTCAGTTTTTCTTAGTCTTGTTGCACTGGATATTCCTCAGGAGAAGGTTTTCTCTGGTCAGTTGTAGCTATCTCACAAGTGTTTGATATTTTTGGGTTGACTGCATCTCTAAGAAGCAGAATAGTAAAGTCAAAACTGAAGAATATGTTTTGTGAATAAAAGCAATTTTTTTCAGATTTCCAACCTTCCATTGAATGTATGTCCTCCCATTGTCTCATTGTCAAAAGGGGAAAGCAGAAATGTGTGTTTCTCTCCCCTTGTCTCAAGCCCCAAACCCTTGGGATGTGGATGGTTTGCATTCACACCAGCCTTCAGTCACTGCTGTGGAATTCCCCTGTTTCTGATGAAAGCTTTTTAAGTTGCCCAGGATAAGCCATGTCGGTTTATACTTTGATTTCTTGAATAAGGAAGATGCCAGTTCTGCCTTCATTGCAAAAGCACTGTGGAGATGCATTTAGTGATGTTCAGTCAATACTGACTGCAATTTATGTAGGGTCTAACAGGAAAGTTGTCAGCTGCCTCAAATTTTATTAATGGATAACACTTCTGAATTTTTTTATATCAATTATTAGTGGCATGACTATCTTTGACATGTTCTTTGTTAGTGCAGTGGAAAATTCTTTGCAAAATATTTTCTTCTGCTTTTCCTGTCACTACTGTGAGTTTCTTTTGTTGCTTTCTGGTGACCTTGAAGCATCCTCATCCTTCTCTAGAGGGACAGATGACTAAGATAAGAAACTGCATTACAAAAGGGAGAACTGCTTCGTGTAATGTTTAAAATTTGTCCAAGGTGTAACTCTGAACCAAACAATACCACAATTTAGCCATAAAATCTGTGGAGGAGTTGGTTCCTGTTGAGTGTGAGCAGTATTAGCAAACAGAAGTATTAACACAGAAACAGGTACAAAGAGGCATTGCACAGGATTACATCTGGTGCTTACCCAAAGAGCTCTGCATTCCAGGTTTGTTTTTAAGGTCTGTTTCAGTAAGAGCAGTATTATTTCAATGAGGTGTAGGGCTCAGTGGCAGTCATTTACTTTTAGATGTGGCTCACATATTTCTATGAGGACCAGGCAGTCATGCGTGGTAATTCTTCACATTCCTGACATCTTTTTCATAATCCACTTCTATGATGATGATAACTGCAATGAATAGGGAAGAAAGCATTTTAACTTTTTTTTAATGCCTGGAATTCATGTTTCAGTTCTAGTTGTAGAATCTATAACGTCAGGGTGGGGTTTTTTTTGGTTTTTTTTTGTATAGACTACAGTAACTATCTTAGTTGCTAGCAATCTTTGATGGAGAAGAGCCTGTAGTTGCAATAGTTGTATCTAATCTTTCAAAGTTCTTTTGGACATTACTGAACTTGTGTGGCCTTTGAAATTCAATGTGTGGACTTAGGTGTGATACATGGAGTCAAAAAACATAAAAGTTGAAATAATTCTAAATATTTTTTAAAGCCTTGTCCTCTGGCAGATAACCTCAAGTCATCTTCCTTTAGTGAGCTGATTTGGAAAGGTTATTTTGGTTCTCACTATTCTAAGATAAATTTTCAGTATGTGTATGAAAAGTTTCAGTATAAATAGCACAAAGTTTTTTTCTTTACTGTTATGTTCCATCTATGAGAAGAACTGGGAAAACCTCTGTGTATTCAACAAGCTTTCCTCATATTTGGAAAACATAAAAATGGGATCTGTTTAATTATTTCAATGCCCCCTCGTCTCATAAATGGAATATTCATGTAGGGTAGTTTTGCTATCAGGTTCAAGTTCCATGAGCAGAACAACTAAAACTTGTCAATGTCCAGAGTAGCCAGGAAAAGAGAAGGTTTTTTGATGATTATTGCCCTTTTTTGCATTTTGCAAGAATTGCTTCTACTCGTGTTTTGGTTCTGCTGAATGAAGTGATGGTTTCTAAATCTTGGAATGAAATTCAGGACACACTGATTGTAGAATAACTTTGGGTCCTGTTTCTGTAAGGAAGAAGAATTTAGTCTGAAAAGATTTTGCTACTTTCCAAGTGGAAGTTGTATAATTCTCCCTGCAGTTTGTCCTTTCCTCCTGTGTTTGCATTATACTTTAGAGATTTAACCACTGAGATGTTAGAGGTTTTTTTGAGGAACATCTTGGCATGTTTGTATGTTGTTATAATTACAGTTAGCATGAGTTCTTAGCATTCAGAATTGAGTTTTTGCCAAATAATGATGTTTTGAGGAGAAAATTGATCACTTAGCAAAATGATTCTTTTATGTGGAATAAATGTTGCAGCTGAATAGGAAGATTATATAATTCTTCAAGAAGCACTAGGTAGTAGATTTTAATTTCTGTGAAACATGGGACAGATTGCCCCAGTGCAGCTGCTGTGTTACTGGGAACTGCAGGGGAGACCCTGCTGAGCCCACCAGCAGTCTCACAGCTAAATCCTATTGATTTTTGTAGGGACCAGTGCAGCCTCTGCAGGGCTCTGGGGGGGATTATGAGATGTAATACAGGTAAGCACAGGGGAGCAGCCACTGTCTCTGCTTCAGAGGCAGGGTATGAAACTATTGATTGTACACTTTGCTTTATTTGACATCACCCCAGTGCAGTTATTCCAGCTTTTGGGGATATACACTCTTTGATCCTCCACTGTGTGGATGATGCCTTGCTTTGTCATTTGTGTGTTTTTACTAAATCTTTATTTTTTGTTCTGTGATTGTTGATAAGATACTTTTTGCTGGCATGGTAACCTCCTGTTCCTTGCTTGCCTGCATCTGTCCATTTGAGATACTTCAGAGCAGGACCTGCTACTTTCCCATCTTTGTATAATATTCAGCACTGTGAATTGAGGCTTCTGGATGATGTTTGTTAGTCATGACCCTGGATGGACCCTGCTGAGGGGTTTTTGACCCAGGAAGAACCTGGGATTGGGCTTTCTCTGTCAAGACCAGCCATTACCCACTGTCAGTCTGAGTAGAGAGCCAATGAAAATCCAGCCTCAGCATCTAAACCACACTTCCCTGTTACAAAACCATCCAAGCTGTTGGGTGCAGGAGGGAAATCACCCCTAACTCCAGCCCATACCCCCCTGCAGTGACCCCTCCACTGGAAGCTGCTCCTCCCCAGGTGTCCGTGCCTGCCATGGCCCTCAGTGCAGAGCCTGGGTGCCTCATCCAGCCCCCAGGCCAGGGCTTGGACACCCCATTCCCCTCCCTGGCAACTGAATCAAAGCTTCAGGTAGTCAGAATTTCTAAAGCCACAGTCACCCTTGAGGCATCTCTGAATGTGTTTCTCCTAGCAGTAGTTGAGTGATGCTGAAGTCACTGGGATTAAAGAGTGCTGAGGAGCATAAAGATATTTATCATACTGGTCCACTATTTGATTTTGTTTTCTTTTTTTTTACCTTTAGGATGAACGTGAAGCCAGAGAAAACGTGAAGAGAGAGCAGGACGAAGCGTACCGCATCTCACTGGAGGCTGACAGAGCCAAGGTGTGTGCAGGGGCACAGACCCATGGGATGAGAACCCTTTGGGGTTTGGGAATGCTCTGTGCTGCAGGGGACTGCCTGCCTTCAGCTGTGCTCTGAACATGAGACCCTAAAGTCCTCCATGTTGTAAAGTGGCACCAGATAAAGTCACTAGGACTAGACTTGACTGCATATTTTAGCTAAACCTGTCCTGGCTTCATTTGGGAAAGGAAAGGCAGGAAAGTATTGCTTACTAAATATCCTATCTCTTATATTAATTTCTATGGAAACATTTAAAAATTTCTTTGCATTTGTATTTATCACATATTTATGTGGGATTGCCCTTTGTGTTTGTTAGAGGGAAGCACAAGAGAGAGAAATGGCGGAGCAGTTTCGCTTGGAACAGATCCGGAAAGAACAGGAGGAGGAACGTGAGGTGAGATGTTTTACCTTTTCTGATAACTTTATGAATTCATGAAGCTTATGAGCACTGAAACTGTCATTCAACACACACTGCAACTTCAATTCAAAGCATAGTTTTTATGTGATCAATTTTCTTCACTGTTATTGATTTCTTACTGTATATCTGTGAAACTTAGTGCAGCTAAATAATTTTCATCCACTGTTTAATGGCTTTTCTGTTTTATCATCTGAGTCTCAGATACAGCCAGATATTTGATGGACCTGCTCACAGGAGATCTGTGAAATGAGCTCCATAAATGCTGGAATCTTTGGGAGGCTCTAACCTGTTTTCTGCAGCCACTCCTTTTAAAAACATGGAGCCCTTTCATTTTTTCCAGGAAGTAGCACAAAGCCTACCTGCAATTCTGATCAAACAAGTTACCAAATTTAATTTGGGAGACAATCCACTTACTAAAAAAAAAAAAATTAAGAAAATAAAATCCAGAATCTTGAAATTTGTGTACTTAAAAAAATTTCTGAACAGTCTTCTACAGAATCTTCCTTATGATGAATGAAAATTGTGTTTTAACAAGTACTTTATGTCTCTAAGCCTCTGTAAGAAAACAGAAAGCCTGTGCTGTGAAGAATACTGTTCCTCAAACTGTTTTGTAGGTTCTCTCAATTTGGTAAATGCTCAGGGTCCCAGTGCTTCTCAGAGATGGCTCCTGCAGGCTCTTGCAGGGTCTAGACTGGTTGTGAGATGGCAATTCTGTGAGGTTAACAGCAGCTGAACATGAATCCACTGCAGCAGGAGCAGGCTCACAATCAGCTCACACTCAGGTTCAAGCAAGAAATATGTTTTTCTTTTCGAAGTTATTTTGCATGCATGGAAACAATAATTATTTCTGCTTCGTTACATCTGGTCCTGAGCGTTTTCTGATACCTTGGCCTTTTGGAAATGGTTTTCTTATGCAAAGGCTGCAGCACTGGCCCATGTTACCAAAATACACCTGAGCTTCCCTGTTTTAATGCAGAGTGCAGTAATGAAAATAATAGGATCTGTTTGCTTAGTAGAACAAAAGGGATTTTAACAATAATGTTTACTAACACTCCCCATTTTCAAGTATACAGATTACTTGGACTGAATTGTTTTGCAACAGTGTTTACTTACAGAAGTGGCTTTATGTTCAGTTTGTATTTTAAAATCTGACTATTGAGCTCTTCACATACTGAACACCTTTTTATCAACAAACTGAAATTGCTTGCTCGGGTCCAAGAGTTTTTAATGTGATTCATCATGTCATTGCTTTCTGACTTGGTTTGCTGGTACAAAATATCCATTGTAAAGTGCCATTTTATGTTGAGTGGTTACTTTGAGGAGCGACGCACTCTTTGCACAAAGGAAGGAGCTCTAATGAGCTACTGTTGTTTATTTTTCTATAATATAATTGATTGGGTTCAGTAAATAATGTAGCATCTGTTGTTATACTGTGTGGGGAAATGTCAAAACAGTGAAATAGTAAGCAGGTGGTTGAGAATGGAGAGGGAGAAAATTAAAATAGAATCTATTTAAAATATCTCATAGTAGATGAGCAAAAATGAACTGAAATTCTATGTATAAATATTTATACTGAGATATAATTTGCTCAGAGGTGTGTGTGTAAGAAGTAGACTATTTAAAAGCCTTTGTAATCTTGCTTCTGCCCACTCCTTTCCCTGCAGCGTAATCAGCCTCTATCGGTTTCTGTTACTAAATGACCTTGGGGGGCGTTTCAAAGGCACAAATAGCAACTGTGTATACTGAAAGTTCCTTGAAAATGGGTAAATCCATGCATCCCTGTCTGACTGCCTCTTCAGTTTGAAAAATTGCCTTTTAGGCACATTTTGGGGCAGGCAGTGTGTTTGTGCTGCTTCTTCCATTCATTTACCTTCTCTTTAAGTGCTACCTTAAGTGAGGTGATAGTGTAACAGAGCTGAGTATGATCAAATTTTTGGCAGATACTGATGCTGCTCATGAATACCAAAAATGCCCTTGAAAGTCAAGCCCACCTCATTCAGCAGTCTAATGTTAGCCATTAATTTTATATGAAAAAAAGAAAATCTAATCAAAGGATTGGTGCTGTAGCAGCTCACAGAGAGAGAAGACAGAGAACACAGACCGGGGTCCTGCCCTTAAAGTCTTGACATCAGCAATGTTAGCAGGAAGACAGTCATACACATGTGACTGCCATGTAGTGTCATTGCAATTTGAGGGATGATTTCATGCAGGTTGTGGCAGAAAACATGTTCAGCTGTACTTAGAACAATCTTCTTGTAAGTACTACTACTACTACTATCACCAATTTTAAATCTTCAAGCTCCCATTTCTCTTCTCCCAGTTTTCTTCCTACTTCTATATGTCCTCTGTGTATCTAATGTACATTTGTGGCATTTTTAATTGCATCTTTTAACAGTGTTTCAGTTTATTTATAGTAAATTTCTTGCGTATATTTCTTTTCACTCTGAACTGCCATTAAGGGTCTAGTCTACTGCAAATGGTCAATTACCATTGCAAGAGGAAGACAATTTGACAAGTGCTTTTAAAGAAATACTTTTACTGCCTTTTAATTTATACCCTTTAAGGAAGCAATTGGCCACTTGACAATTATTCTCTCATTCAATTTTTTTCCAAGGCTTTCTGCCAAATGATTAAATTACATATCCCATCGTGCATTAACTGTAGACCTAATAATATGTGTTATAAAGAAGGATTTATTTTAATTACTTGTCTGGTGGGCTGTTATTAAGGAGTGAATAAAAATTATTTTGTCATTGAGATATAAAGACTCTGGAGCACTGCGACACATCTTGAAGTTCTAGAAGAAATAAATAGAAAAGCTTTCTCCCTTTCTTCTGTTGCTAGCATTAGAAAAAATGGTTGTTTTTCCTTCCCTAGGCCATCAGGCTGTCTCTGGAGCAGTCCTTGCCCCCCGAGCCAAAGGAGGAGAGCACTGAGTCTGTCAGCAAACTCCGCATCCGGACGCCCAGCGGAGAATTCTTTGAGCGGCGTTTCCTGGCCAGCAGCAAGCTGCAGGTTGTCTTTGATTTTGTAGCTTCCAAGGGATATCCTTGGGAGGAGTACAAGCTGCTGGGCACCTTTCCGAGGAGAGATGTGAGTAAATAGACCTTTCAGGAATAAATACCTCTGTTTCTTGCTCCTGTGGGTTGGATGGGCTGGGGTGTTATAGCATAGAAGGTAAAAGTTGTGTGCCTGGGTGTGTTCCAGTGCTGCCAAGCTCTAAGCCAGCTGCTGGCTGCCCAGTGCTGTCAGATGTTACATACAGAGCTGTGAAACCTGCCTCCAGTGACATTGTAAAAAATCCTACATTTCAGAAAAAGTTGTGGACCATATTCAGTGAAAACTTGAATATGCTGAGCCAGCTTTGCTCATGTCCTGTTTACAAAGAGCCTCCATCAGCACTGCTGGTAGTTCACTGTTTAGGTCTGTTACACTTCTGATCTTTCTGGTTTTGCCATTTGGATGCAACTTGATGTTATGAATAAGGCTCAGCATCAGATAGTACCCAGTTATGAACTATTAAGTATATGCTAATAAATATTTGATCCACCTGTTACATAATACCAGTAGATAATTACATCTCCTACCTTGGAATTGTATGATGAACGTGCTGTGGCTGATTTTCAGGATCAATACTGCTCACTGCTTGCAGTAGCCAATTCTGTTGATAAATCAACAGATAATTTTTGTGCTTGCTCCTAAATTTCTTTGAAAAACCACCTCTGTGTTTTCTTCTCTAATTAACTTTTATTTGTTATTTAGTCATTGCTACAGCAAAGATGAAAGTCAGTGGGTCCAGCTGTGCAGGGGCCCTGGATAAAAGGTGAAGGGAATGGGCATGGCAGAGATGTCAGGACAGAGCCAAGCAGTGGTGGTGAAGTTCAGCAGCTCTTTGGCCATACTGCCTGGGCACTGCAGATGAGTGGGGCAGCTCTGGACCAGCTGGGGTCTTGTTTGCTGGAGGCATCTCCAGGGGACTGGTTAGACCATTTTTCACCAAAGGAGTTCAGTAGTTTGGATTGCTTTTTCATTTTGTTTCCCATCATTGCCCCTGGGGTAGTTCACTAGGGATGAGGCTCTGATTGACCTGTTTGCAGTAGTTTGTAGCAGATACCTCTTACTTTATCATCTTATTTGTAAGTACTGCAAAGGAGAAGAAGCTCATCCTTAGTAAGCATCCAGGCTTTTGAGTGGATGTGGTTTCTGACCCATTTTTGGCACAACTGTGGACAGGATTGCAGTGCTTACAGCTCTTCTTCCACCTTGCCCTGTATTGGGAATCCTGATCCGTCAGACTGAAAAGCAGCTTTTAAGGAATCTCATTAATCACTAATTAACTTTACTTCTTAAGCATGCAGTATCATTTCCAGTGGAACCAAAGACTAGAAGTCGTCTGTATTTCCAGGATTACTGATGGTTCAGTGTACTTGACAAAGGAAACCAGTGTTGTGCAGTCTAAACAATGGGGTTGTATATTTTAAGCATTTTGCAAGTCATGCCTCCCCACCTGTAACTTATTTCTGATGTAATACATATTTAATGTAAATACCCTACAGGTATATTACTGTCAGCTTTTTACATTTGTTTTTCACTTTACTCTGGCTGTTTCTGTACTTATTCACATCATCATCATTATGAATGCTAGTCATCTGTAAAAAACCTCAAAAATTTATCAGGAGAATCACATAAGAACAAGTACTAAAAAAAAAAGTAGAAAAGGAAAAAATACCACTAAATTAGAACAGGCTAGTATTGTCAATATATCTGTGAAACTGGCAGGGAGAAAAGGCTGAGGCAAAGAAAGGAGAATTTAGTGGCAGGGTGTGGGGGTGTGGAGCTGTTGGTCTGTTGTGTGGGAAGCAAAGACCCTGTCATCTTTTTTCTATGATTCCAACCTAATAATGCCATGTATGAGGAGTCACATAAATGATTCATGCTGATTGACTCAGCCATGTATGAATCCCATTGCCATTGTGACCACCAGAGCCACAACAGACAAAAAATATTCCCCAGGGGTTTGCTAACCACTGAGAACTGTAAATGACATCTGTCATGTTCCCCATGTTTGGAAAGTTGGAAGCATGCAACTCCATGGGCAGATTTTAAAAAATAAAAATAAGGCATTGTTGAATGGCTTGGAAGAAGTACAGTCAAAGTATATATCCATTGCCTTGGGCTTTGTGGTCTGTAGTCACTTAAAAATACACTGTAAGTTATCAAGACCCTTCTGCTGTATGGTATGTCACCAACCTGAATGGAAATCTGTGCTACAAGGACAGAGCACTTGGAATGCTTGTGTTCCAGAGAACAGGAGCATTTCAAATGTCTGTGTTTAACTATACATAACATTTTTGGAAAAGTGTTTAAAAGTATCAGAATTACTTTGCTGGAGTTCTGCTGCAATAAGATGAAAACATGTCTTCTAAAGTTTGTGGAGTTTTTTCTATCCTAATCTGCTTTACAATAACATACACACCCCTAGAAGTGTTTCCGTCTTATCAAAACAAGGGGATTATCTTCAACCAGATCAACATTTTCTTGTGATAAGCTTGTTAGAGCATTTTTGCCTGCTGTTCAAAGCCATCAGTTCTGATACAGTGTTGTTGAAGTACTTTTACGTCTTTCATAAATAAAAATTCATTAGTTCTTAGTCCTGTGTTCCAGTTGCTTACACAGATATCCTTAGCTAACTTAAAGTTGGTATCATAACCCTCCTGTAAATACAAACTTCTACACATAAGTAAATACCCAGATTAACCTTTTCCAGACACTACTTGTAGATTTTAAAGCAGCAGTGACATTCCAAAGCAGTTAAGCACATGCAGTGACTTGTTATTGGGTCTTTGTCACTGACTGTTGTTCTTTCTACCTGTGCTGAAATGAGATATTAACCAGCTCCTCTCTCAGTACCTCAGCACCACATCTTGTACCACCAGTGTGTGTCACAAATGTGAGCTTGGGGCAGCTGGGAGCTTGTGCCTGGAAACGTTGGCAAGCTCATCTTTGGGAGTGAAAAGCTGTATTGTATTTCTTGGCAAAGAAATTTCAATGCAAAGAGTGTATTTCTTGTATTCTTAAATACACCTGCAAAGTCTTAGTGAGAGCAAATGTGTGCGCTGTTAAATGTGTGTGCTGATTTCAGAGTTACAGTTCCCTGTCTTCCAGAAATCTCATCTAACTATAACAAAAAGAGCTTACTCTATGTATGTTAGTGTGCTAAGTCAACCTTCTAGTTCAGTATTTAGCTCCCTTTCTCTTAACAGCCTTCCCAAACTCTGACTTATTGCAGCAAAACTGCAGCAAAGTAATTCTGATACTTTCAAGCATTTTTTTTTTCAAAAATGTTATGATATAGTTTAAATGCAAACTGACTTTGGTTGTCCTCTTGACCTCCCAGCTGCAGGATCCTCCATCTACCAGTGCCTTGGAGACCTCCAGATATTCAGTTCCTCCCTTACTTCAGTGCTGGTGATGTGCACAAGCCTTCCTAAAACTGTTAGCACTTACAGAGTGGGCATTTTACCCCACTTAGGCAAGAAGCTGAAGTGGACCAAGTCTAGCTGAAACTATAAGAGGAATATGGAGAAATTTACCCAAGATGGGCTTCAGCCATCCTTTTAGGGTTGATATGTTTGTGAGTGTTCTGTGGTGTCTGTCAGAAAGGGAGGGCCAGGCATCATTCCTCCTTCTAAAAGCTATATTTGAAATACTGAATTTATTAATTTCTCACCAAAAATCAAAATTTCAAGCTATAATTACTGCTGCTGATTTCTCCTTGAGGTGGAGCATTAGTTATGTATTTGAGAGTATGCCTTCTGCAGACGTGGTATTAGAGACTTAAGCTCTTTATTTACTGTATCTGGAAGCCTTGGTAAGCCAAGACTTCTACAGTATTTCACATTTTATTTTTCTGAGCCACAGCTTAGGATCAGGTGGCAGTTAAGTCACTTAAGGTTATTTAAATGCATCTAAAATGTTGCTTAATAATTCAGAACCAGTTTGCTCTGTTTAGAGTATTAAGATTTTTTAAATCCTTTTAATTAACCAATTTCAACAGCAGTTTAAATAAACAGAAACAAAAAATCTCCCTTGAAAGTGCATAAAATAAATTTAATTCAAATTGCATGTCAATTTAAATCAGATATGATCAGGATTTCAGTAAATTTAGGGCCAGGCAATTCACAGTTTTGCGAGTATATGGGAATACAATAATGGTAAGATATTCCTCCAAACCCAAATGTGATTTTTTTGTTCCTGTGCTTTGGCAAGATTAATCCTCTTTGATGCTCACAGTGGTGAAAATAATGCCACAGGATAGTAAGTTTAGCTGCAGCACTTGCTGTGGAGTCCTCTGAGCAGGGAATTGCCCTCTGATGTTCTCAGAAAGGTGATGTTGGAGCATGGTCCTTCTTTTGTTATGCCAGGTAGTTTGACAATTTTGTTTATGAGTTCTGGCAGCTGTTCTTTGTAAGGATTATTCTGAATTTCACCCTGTACAAACTACTGCCTTCAGATAACTTACTTTTAAACTCATTAGGGAGTGTTTAAACTTAAATAGTTCATGAAAGAGTTAAATGTCCAGGACCATCTTTGACTTTTAATATTCTTCCCCCTAGTCATGATCTTGATAAAAAAAATTGAAGAAATATGTTACTGTGATAAAAGATTTGTGCAGTGTCACAGCTAAACCCTATAGTACTTTTAATAATTTCATGTAAATCAGGAAAGTAGCTTAAATATATGTTTTATAGCAGAGGAGCATTTCAGATGAATGAAATTTTTTTTCTGATAGGTTCAAAAATTTTTGAGAACTACATGTGATACCTGTAATTTTTCCAGTTGTTTCAGTTACTGATATTTATCTTTCTTACTACACCAATTAGTAGACATCTCTTTCAATTCACATAATTTAAATTTTTCTGGTCAGTGATGTCATGTGCTTACTCTGATCTAGTTTACACAAGGCCACAGCCACCTACAAAGGTAGATGTCCTTCCTCCTATCATTTACAGCTTTCCTTAAGTCAATACTACCTGCCCTTGTCTTTTCTCTCCTTTCAAGATCTGTTGTTATTTTATTTATCCAAGCAGTTA